ATTTAAGTCACTCTAATCAATGAAGAGAAGTATTTGTTTGGGGCTGGGGATTTAGCTCAGTGGCACAGCGCCTGCCTGGCAAGTGCAAGGTTGTGAGTTTGATTCCTGGTACCGGGAAAAAAACCCAAAAAACAAAAACAAAAACAACAAAAAAAAGAAAATTGGAGGAATTAAAGTTCCATGGGAAAACGATCTCTTTCTAATGTTTAGTTTCAAGTATTGGCAGTACATACTAAGGTCGATAGATGGCGTTTAGAAAACTAAATATATGCGGCCCAAGCAGTATGTTTTGTGTCTGTTACATTTAGGGTGGTGTTTAAAACCAAGCAAATAACTATAGCAGTAACACCAGATGCATGTGAGAGAAGTGCACTGCAGCCTGGACTTAAACCACAAGGTGTTTGCAACTGGTGGGGAAGAAGAAGAACAGTAATCTAGACTAAGACGCACCAGGCGTGGAGATCACCAGGGAGTCACACAAGTCGGGAAGAATGATGACAGTGACTCATGGAGTGGCCAGCAGTACCTCCTGCAGGAGAGGGACTTTCCTGGTGGTGAAATCTAAGATGAGAGCCCTGAATGCGACAAGGGGAAAGTCCTTGCTCTTTGAACATAGTTTCTAGGCAGTAAAGTGAAAGTCATGCCACAGGCAGCAAGTAACAAGCAGATGGAGAGGAAAGAGAAATATCTGTAAGAATGGTCACAGAAGCTTGTTTGTAAATGAAAAAAAATTTGGAAAGAGAAGTGCAACTTAGTGAAAAAGGTAAATTAGAAGAGATCTGTATGTGTTTAAAGGTCAAGGTAAAGATCATTTTAAATAGAAAATCAAGTCTTTATTTCAACAGGTTTAGTTTGCATAAAGAAAAGATGTAGCAGGTGGGCTTTAGAAGAGTAGATCTCTTGTACACTGTATCTCAGTATTGTCTCACTTAGAGTAAAGCCCTAAGTCCTTCATACAGTGGCCTAAATAGGGCCCACCTGATCCACATCAAAGTTACAGTTGCACTATTTTCTGCGACTCTTTTATTCTTTGGCATAGTAACAGAGGTAGGTCTGTGTGTCTCCTTGCCATGCCTAGAACTTGCCAGGACTGCTCTATCCTAGGTCCTGTGCATTCCTTCTTCCTTGAACACATTTCCCTTAGTTACCTACATGGCTAGTCCCCCACCTCATTCAGATCTTGTCTCAAATGTTGCTTTTTCAGTGGGGCCCTCTTTGAATTTCTGTTTAACTGAAATTTTTCTCTTTACTCAGTCCATGAACCCATCCCCACCCTTATCCCTTCCTATTTTTTTATAACATTTTCTCCAACATATTGTATGTTTGACTTATTAATTTTGTCTTTGTGTTCTCCTACTAGAATTTAACTCAGTGCGTGCAAGGGTTTTCCCAGTGTAGTTGTCCCTCAGCACCTGTTAGTAATTGGTTCCAGGATCCTCCATAGATACCAAAATCTGTGGGTGCTCAAGTTCTGTACATACAATCTCTAGATTACTTGTAATGCCTAAATACAGCGTAAATTCTATGCACAGAGTTACTACACTTTTAGGGAATAGTTACCAAACAAAAACCTGAACATGTTCAATACAGACTCAGTTTTTTTTTCCTGATTATTTTTGACCTAGTTGCCTGATTCCATGGATGTGGAAACTATGCATACAGAGAGCTGTTAGCTGTCTGGCAAATAAGCAGTCATTTACTAAAAGTTTGTTGCAAGAATGAACGAATATTATGAGTTTAATATGCTTTGTGGAAACCAGTAGGATAATATTCTCTTCATCATCATTAACATCATTATTAATAAGCATATTGAATGCTATTAATAGATTCCCTATATTCTCTGCTCAGGGATTGGCAAATTTTTTCTGTTAAAGTGCCAGAGAGTAAATATTTTTGTGAGCCATGTGGTCTCACTGCATGTACTCCACACCACTGTTGTAGTGCAGAAGCAGCCATGGACCATCTTGTAAGTGAGCGAGCATGGCTGCATTCCAGTAGGGCTATTTATGGACCCTGAAATTTGATTTTTACATAATTTCCAAATGCCACAAAGTAGTATTCTTTCTGTTTTTTCTCCAACCATTTAATAGTGTAGAAACCATTCTTAGTTTATCAGCTAAGAAAATGGGCAGTGGGCCAAATTAGACCAGTAATGTATACTTTACTTTTATTAGTTTCTTAAACATATCTTTGTTGAAACTTATTTTTCCATACTTGGTAGGGAGCAACAATGTGGATTAAACCTTCAAAACGGATAATTCAGAAATTCTGTTTAATTCCAGAAACCTTCATGTTGTTCCATTTTTGTTTTTCTGGGAACTTTATGTTTTTATTATGTGTTTATGATGTTAATTTTTAAATGAGTTTGCATTCTTTTAGCAGATGCCACATGGTAGTGTTGGGAGTGGTTTAATAGTTCAGTAGCAAAGCTGGTCAGGGCCCACCCAAGTTTAGAAGATTGCCATTATTTACAAGGTGAAGAATTCCCATATGGGGGAATCAAGAGTCATCAGCCAGGGCCAGTGCCCAGAGGACTGTCACTGTAAATGAGAATTGTGTTACAGTTTTAAACATCATCCATAACACATTTCATGAATAAACTACAAGTGCTTTTAATAATGTCACTTGAGGTTAATTTTAGCTGTGCCACTTTGGTATTCTTGGCTCTTCAAAAGCAAAAACAAAAAACAAAAAAACTCCAGAAGCCCAAAACAGAAAAAATGTCTATTATTAAATCAAACTGCGATTTAGATAAGGCATCATATTTTCCTCAGGAAGCACAAAGAGAAAAATGTTTCTCATTTGCAAAAATTTTTAATACTCATAGGTTTTTCATGTACTTGATTTTGTCTAGTTTTTGCCACAGTCATATCATGTGGATAGCCTTTGTAACTGTTTAAGTGTGAGAGAATTGGCAGTCAGTGAGGGTAAGTAATTTGCCCAGGTCTGAGGATTCCTGACAGGACTCCGGGCTGTGAGGTGCAGACTCCATCCTCTCTGTCAACTTTAGCCAGTTCAGTGCTGCAAACTCTGTTCACTGCCTCTTCCTCTCTTGCATGACCTATTTATTTATTAAGATGCCCAGAGCCCTTGCTGCAGCTCTGCTAGGCTTGCAGTGTGCTGCGCTGGTAAGGAGGGAGGAGGCTGTGGTCAGTTAAATCACTGCCACTGTAGCTGTTCCAGCTGTTTTCTCCCTTAACCACTTTATCTGCTGTGTAATTCTTCCAAGCACGTTCTGTCTTGGTCTGCTAGTAATTGGCCTCCCTTCTTTTCTCTATAACTTTGATTCTTGAAGACCTCACCTGATCCATCAACAGCTAATGAGATGTCTTGGATATGACTGGCAAAGAACGGAAAGAATCCAGCATGACCCCAGTGCTTCAGGTCTGAGAGATTAGGAGCATCAGGACATCAGTGACTAAGCACCAGATGTGACAGGATCTAGCTTGGAGGAAACAGATTTAGAGTGTGTTTTAAATGTATTGCTGTTGAGGTAATGATGGAACAGCATTGTAGATTCAGTTTTCTATCCTACAAAAAATTAAAATGGTGAAATAGGTTGAACCAAGAATCTGGGACTTCAGCGAAGCAGCAAAATTTATAGTTACAAGCAAAATCTTTATGTTGCTTTTAAATACTTCTTAGGGGCGCAGTTTAAACAGCTTCATTATTAGAATGGAGACTTCTCAAGCAATTTTGAAGCTGTGAGGAGAAAATTGTTATAAATATTATCCACAATTTGGAATGGTTGTGCATCTTATGAGTTAAGAGGTGGCATATAAAAAGATTCTTCAGGGGGCTGGGGATTTAGCTCAGCGGCAAAAGCGCCTGCCTGGCAAGCGCAAGGTCGTGAGTTCGGTTCCCGGTACCGGAGAAAAACCAAAACCAAAAAAAAAAAAAAAAACAAAACAAAACAAATAAGATAACTTCAATATCACTGTATCTTTAACTTTATGCCAGATATATGAAAGATACTTAAATTTATGCTAGT